TGAAATAAAATTGGTATTGCCCTACCAATTCAAATTTAAAACTTCCCTTTCAATGTATTTACCATATATCAAATTGATCAATGATGATAATAACTTTACATCCACAACATTATTACTTATTTTTAGCAGAGAAATACCCAAATGGCTCTTTCGTTTTCTAGAATCCTCAAAAAAAAGCCATTTCATGCTACTTCACATCTACAATGTGTCTGCCCACTTTGGTGCCACCCACCACCTTTCTATATAATACAGGAGATTATTTCACCTGACAGAGAATACAGTCACCTTCCCTTGGTGCAGCTGGCATTTCATAAAAGCCAAACACCCAGCTACCATTAGCACTGACTGACTTCAGGGAGATTGAATGGTTCTGACAGGTATGGCTGCTATTTACATCCAGACGCCCCCAAAGACATTGTCATCACATCTGGGGGACTACATGGCGATGATGATATAATACGCAACATGTCCAAAGCAGACACCCTGGCGTGCTTTCCACCTTGTCATATCTATCAACCAAACGTTAGGAAACGCTGGCTTTTTTCTGCAAGCCTTCCGGACACGACTAAAGACTTGATTGGAAATCTGACAAAGTTTGCGATAGAATCAGCCCCGCTGAAATTAAATTGACACCCAAACGCCTGGAGAAACAAACACAGCATCTATTAGAGCCCAGTCCATATACAAGGAGTGAGACATTAACTACATGTATCAGGACTCAAAATTCATTTTTGGGAATAGGTGCACTGGTGCACCCAACCTAAAAAATTAGGTGCACAAAAATTTTTTGGGTGCACCATATCAAACAAAACCGAATTGCAGGTCTTACTGCTCCTCTTCTGAGCTTGAATCTAAAAGCTTGAGAGCTAACTTCAAAATCTGAAACATTACTACAACAAAGATTTCATTATTTTTCTGATACTAAAAGACCAAGAATATCCGGTATACTATAGTATTAGACCCTTCTAATGTTAAAAATTCCTACAAAAATATTTGGGTGCACCAGTGCACCCACGGTGACAGAAAAAAATTAGGTGCACAACTCAAATTTTGGGTGCACTGAAGGTGCACATGCAGGTGCATTTCGAGCCCTGAGTATACAACATGGGTCTGTATTGTGAGCGATCTCTCTCTCACACACTCACGGGCACAACCTTAATGGAGAACTAGTAGCATGACTTGCATTCTGATTTACTGTGTGCCTAACTCGGGATTCTCTGCTGCAGAATTTTAACGGTGCGGGAATTGAGTTGGCTGGGAGAAGCCGCACAACAAGAAAGAAATGATGGGGTGGGTCTCCATCAAACATAAATTATGACATTGCCAGGATTTGTACTCAACCTTTCAGTCAGTCTGCATTACAAAGCACTGTCCCTGCTAAACACTCATTTTCTCCACTGACTGGATAACACATTGACTAAAGCTAACGGAATAGAAAATCACTTGTTTTCAGTGATGTAAGAATAATCTATATGATTATCTTTTTAATCCATTTATGAGATCAGATTGTTGTTGTAATTAGAATACCGAGACTCGTGATCCAGTTTGAATGTGTAAAAATGCTTTGGAATATATTTTTTATTGGTTATGGATGTTATTTCAATTTGATAGCTTTAATTTCATCGTAATTACACCATCCAAAATCATTTGAATTTAGACATGAGAGAAAATATTGTCGTTATTACTTACTGTGTAAGTCAAATTTTTCCTGATTATAAATCGGTCTGCTTTGACATATATCAGGAGCGTACATTCAGCGTATGTCACCTCAAGGGCTGCCATACGAGAATGTACATTCTTGATATACATGCAGCAGTGTTCTCGCCAGGCCTTTTGAGCATAGGGGCCCCCTATGCTGTGATTTGGACCCCCTATGCTGTGATTTGGACCCCTATGCTGTATTTCAACCAGCATAGGGGTGTTTTTGGAGGGAAAACGTTCATAAATCTTGCAAAAACTGAAAATATAACTTTAGAATGATGCTATAGCAAAGGGAAAATCTGTCCTTCGTTAAGCGAGAAATAGTGTCTCAGGGGGTCATGAGTTTCAAAATTTTTCTACTAAATGCACGTCTTTTGCCGCGAAAGTTGCCTTCTGTACCTGACCCCTATGCTGTGAAAAAATCCTGGTGAGAACCCTGATGCAGGCTGATTTATACGCAGAAAAAGATTGACGCATTCAGTTTTCATACACTTTCATGCATACGCAATAGCCTTACATCAGGTTTTTGCCCGCATGCAAATAATAAGGTTTAGGTCTTTCATTCAGCAAGAACAACAGACTAACCAATCCTTCCCCAAGACAATAAACTAGTTAGGCAAAAAGATCCAGCTTGTTGCAATTGTATGACTTATGACATTAGCATGGGAGAGCTTAATGCATAATGACAAATCATTCTTCAGACAAGTACCTGATTGTAAAAGGTGACAAGATGATGCCAGTTGAGTAGATTATCTCAAATTATTAGAGTTGACTTCTTGTGACAGCCAGTAATATGACAACATATTACTGTGGTGAAATATCTGTAATAGCACTCAGTTTCAAACTTTTCAAAAATGTCTCGTATGCTAATGGCTACCATGGGATAGGTTTTGCTATTTATATATTTTTGGAAACTTAGGTAACATAATGTAAGAATATGTTCATATATATTATATTCTCTGTACGACCTAAGTCTGCTGAAACATAACTGTTAAAAAAAGAATGACTTGTTTCAGGGCTCGAAATACTGGGTGCATGTGCACCTTAGTGCACCCAAAATTGAAGTTGTGCACCTAATTTTTTTCAGTGGGTGCACTGGTGCACCCAAATATTTTTAAAGGAATTTTTAACATTAGAAGTGTATAATAGTACACCAGATATCTTTGGTCTCTGAGTATCAGAAAAATCATAAAATCTCTGTTGTAGTAAAGTTTAAAATTTTGAAGCGTTGTTAGTTCTCATTTTAGATTCAAGCTCAGAAGAGGGGCCGTAAGACAATTAGGTTTTGTTTCATATGGTGCACCCAAAAAAATTTTTGTGCACCTAATCTTTTACTACTTTTAGGTTGGGTGCACCAGTGCACCTATTCCCAAAAATGAATTTCGAGCCCTGTGTTTATAACTCTGTACAACTATACAATGTAGATGTTTATGAATTTGGTAGGACTCAAATCATGTCACTTGTGTGTTGTCATATTTTGCCTGACCCTGACCTCTTCCCTCATGACCTCAATGAAAAGCGGCCTGTTGAGTATTTCATGAATAAACAAGTATAAATTATTCAGTATAGAAAGGTTGCCGAGTTCTATTTGTGGTTAGACTTGCAGCCATCCCATAGCTCAAAACATGACATATCATGATATCCTATTTAGCGTGTTCCAGTGTATATATACAAAAACAATCTGTACCAGAAAAATATTTACATCAAACAGGTTTTGAAAGACTTTCAAAACTGATACAAAGGTGTGATTTTGTTCTCTAAATAAGAACATAACTGACACAATAAGACATTACAAATATTCAATTAGATTGCTAGGTGTGAGTACGGTGCCGAACACATTTCCTCACTCCACCCAGGTGTAAAATGGGTACCTGACTTCAGTGGGGACTGGGGAGGTAAAAGGTACCGGTAGTGATAGGAGAGGGATGAGCTCCACCTCCCAATACCAATTGCCCTAGACACAGTGGATCAACATCCCACTGCCTTAATATATGCCATAAAAAAGGCTACGGTACTACTTTTTTCTAAGTCCTAACAGACCTATAGTCATGACTCTCAGAAAGCTGCATTTTTCCAAGAAATTGATCAGCAGGAAATTTTTCAAAACAACACACCTAAGTCCTTCCTGTAGCCTCCATCACAGACTTCTTGGAGTGGGCCTTATGTGAGGGGACGCGCTCCCAGTGCTGATACACGATTTTTTACACGGGCAAACATGGCAAAGGTTCTCTAATGTGGTAGGAGTCCCCCCCCCCAAAAAAAAAAATGCTGCCCTTCCAAAAAGTCTGAGACTGAGGCTAGCTTCTTCAAGTTCTTGAGAGTTACAACTAAGTGTGTTTGATACCACAATCAATTAATAAATCTACTTTTTTTTCATACTTCCTCAAAGCCTCAACGCCAGTTACAGGACCATGACTTCACAAGTGAAATGCGAAAAAAATCTGGGGAGGAAGAGAACAGCCCCGGACATTTCCCCTTGTTTCAAAGAAAATACCAGTGTGAGGAAAAGCCACTTCTGTGACATTCCCTGGTCATGACTCTCCTTGTCATGATGAAAACAGGAAGTGTGATTTCAACAACGTTCCTTCATTTCATCACCATCTTTTAGCTGTATCACACTGAACTGCATGATGATACAAAAAGCCTGGGTGTGGAAAGGTAAAGTAAAATGTCTTTAGGACTGCATTATGCACCGATTCCGGTTGAAATTTTCAAAGCAGACTGTATTTGCATAATAAAAGCATGAATGGTTTGATGGGTAACATGTTGTTGTTACCACTTTGTTGAAAATCGGGGTCGCCTGCATGGCTTCGGTTGATCTTTTTAGCGAAGTAAAATTAAAATGATCGGTTTCCAATTCCACATCAAGAAAATATTAACCTGGTTATCTATTAATTATGATCGCTGGCTTTAGTGTTGTGATTTTGTCTGTTTTGTTTTGCCAACTAGTACTCGGGAGGTACCACTTACCCCCCCTCCCCACTATAACTCAATTCGTGATCGCATTACAAAACATAACATGGCAATATTAAATCAATGAAACACATTAACACCACCAACAGACTATTTCATATTATCCTGTATGCGGAAAATAAGGGCAGACGGCGGTACCAAAACACGAGAGACGAGCTAGGCACGCGATTCGCTCCTAAAGCCGGAACCGCACAGAAATCTGTGCTGATGAAACTGATGATGACCTGACACTGGCGTCATGCCACACGTCAAGCACTGCCTACAAATCGGCGGTTTCCTAGCGAACCGCGCTAGAACCAACGCTACAAAAAGCCTCCCGTACTTACCGGGGTGTCCTCTGCAGTCTGGGGTGGGTGTACGGGGCAAAATCGTCCGAGATCTGGCCGATTTGGGCGACAAATCCCAGCTGGAAGTCAGCGGCCACTGCGACCGCCGAAAGTTGTCTTTGTAACCTGATATCAACCAGCCTGAAACACGCGCCGTGATTGGTCAGGTTTGTCAGAAGAGGCACGACCTTTCACCCGACTGATATTTCCCCATTTCCGCCAATCAGCAGCTATTTACATGGCTTCCTCGTCTGGGAAGGATGATTTCATTGGATGAGCCTTTCGAGCGGTATTTTTGAATCGTTATATCTCAAGACTCCAAGATCTAATGGTGATGATGATGATTTCAGCATTTGTTGGTTCGCCTGCGTTTCTGCTATGCAGTTTCTGTTTGTTCTGCCAGGGGGCACTTTACATCTGCAGGATAAGGATTGCTATCTCTGATCACTTCATTATTATACCAAAGTGTCTCTCATGTAAAAAGGCAGAAAACTTTTAGTATGCTGTTTTATGTTTCACGGGGGCCTGCATGCCCTTTTTGTAAGGCATAACCAGGCCTTTGCCTTTTTAGTCTTCGTGATCCGTAGGCAGCCTCCCAAAAAATTAACGTTATTCGTAAAAGTACATTAGCCGCAAAGCATAAATCGTAAGCACTACCCCCCCCCCCCATGCAGGCCCTCTTTCAATCAGTTTCATGTTCTCCTTCATAGGACCAAACAGTATTATTGGCATTTTCATTATGATGTTTTTGTTTGAATTGCTTGTACCTTGTAGCCCCGGGGCCAGCTCATTGAAGAGGGTTTTCATACAGACACCCAATGAATTCCAAAGAAGTCCCTTCCAAACAAATCCCTAGAATAATTTGGTATACAGCCGGACTGAATTTACTGTTAAGCGTTGCCAACCCTCTAAATTTACTGTAGAACGGCCCTCACCTACTCTTCTGTCCACCAGCAAGAGTTAGGCCACACATCCTTAATTTTATGGATGACATCCTCTGAAGACCCCAAAACTAGTGCGCGCGGGCGAATAAAAAAAAATTTCCGGCCAAAAATAAAAATGCTACTAGCGCCAGGCCAGAGCGCGCGCGGATGCCATCCAGAAAATTAAGTTCATATATAAATCAGCAAAAAGCCAACATGTGCCGGCTTGTCGTATATGTCGCTATGTTCTGCCGCAAATTCACAATACCAGCTTTGCCTTTAACGCCAGGAAAGACGTGCTGGTGTGACGATAGTCAGTTATTTAGAACTCGTCAATTTAGGATTATGAATCCACTGAGATTGGATATATAATAGCTACACAGTCAGCTGTTACAGGCTTTCAACTCATGTTAGATGGTCTCACGGCCAAGCCTGTACAAGGCTATCAACCCCCTTTGAGTGTCCCATGGCCAGGCCTGTTCCAGGCTATCAATTCATTTTGAATGGCTACAAGACCATGGCCAAACCTGTACAAGGCTGTTATGGTTTGTAGTATGACGCAATCACGCAACCACTTGTGTTGGTGACTCGTTCCCAGGCTAGGTTTCGACATCAGGGGCTAAAATAGAGATTTACCGAATCCCGGTATAGTGGAATATTTCGCTAACAATCACCCCTTGCACACCCCTCTTCTTGCTCGTAAGTTTATATTGTTCCGATTCTTATAAATTTAATTTTCTTTTGGATAATATACGATATCTTGATCGTCCTACGACAGAAGTACGAAGAAGTGCAGTACGCAATCATCCCCTATGTGAGACTCCTTTGAAACTCCTTTGTTTTTGCTAAAATAAGACGTAGAGTAACATGTACAAATGTAAGCAAACATGGCGGCCCGGTTGTAATTAATGTCAGTACGGCAGAATATCGGTCGTGTTCTGGAGTATTTAGCGGGATTTGAAGACCACAAACCTTCCGTGCACCGAGTTAAGACAGCAGACATGCATATTATTATATTATATGGTAAGGGACAACCATAAACCGGATGAAAACGCATATAATCGCGCAGACGACGGGAGATTGGTGTCTGGTTCGGTCAACAAAATCTTATACATTTTGTATTGTGAATGCAGTAAACTGAAAGAAACGAATGAATGATTGAACGAACGAAAAAGTGAAACGTGTCCCTTGCCTATGCCTACATTTTCAATCAAGAGTTCTGCACACACAACTCGCACACAGTAGACTGTTGTTGCACTTCACAAGTCGCCAGAGGTCGCTGCTACACGGTACATTTGCCGGATAGTGTCAATACGTTTCACCGACGTCAGGTCGCTCTGCAGTGAATGGGACGCATATTTCCAACTCTAACCCTAATCATAACTTCAATTCTAACCATAGCGATAACCAAAACTACGGCTAAAATTGGGACGGCGAAACATAGGAGCAAATGTTGCTGTGAGTGACTTGATTTAGTATTTTGTACAAAAGTTCATCACAAAGGCCAGTGTGCAACGGCACTGCTACAGGTACGTCATAGTTACGTCAGCCACAAATAAATGTGACCCTGCAGTTTGGAGACAAATCGCCAGAGGCCACTGCTACACGGTCCATCGGCCAGGTTTCAGAAGATGGGTATTGTCTGATTTCAGGATCAATAGACATATGGTCATCTTTGGTATTGTTCCAACCACCTGGCCAAAGTGCAAGAAAGATGTCATCATCTACATCATCGCTGTCACGAGGAAACGTATTTGGTCCTCGAGATGTGAGGCAGTCTTTGACAAAACGTTTGTAACCCACGTTGAGATAGTTCCGTACATCAAGGAGTGCCTTCGCTCAAGACTGAAGCTAGACTTTGTACGCCTCGGTGAGGCAGCCTTCCTAGCACAGTGGTGCTCTTCAATACGTTGGGCGAAGGTCGTAGGGGGAAAACTACGCTTGCGGTTTTAGCCCCCCGTTCCCTTCCAGTCGTATCAGTTTTTTGTTGTGAAATGTCTGTCTTTTATGTCATTATTTTATTTTGATGTGTCAAGTTGGCAGGAGTGGGTTGGTGGGAGCACTTGGACAGTAACCTGTCGTGGGTAGCTTGGCACATCCTTTTTCTATTCCTCTTCCTTTGTCTATGTCTCTGTAACGTCGAAAAGTTGAAAAAAAAAGAAAATAGTTAAAAAACCTTCTGTCTCTCTTGTCTAGTTTTCACTCCTTTTTGATTTTGTTATACCCCAATTAAAAACGGGTTTCGTCCTGACGTTTCGCCGACGTCAGGCCGTTTTGCAGTCAAGGGAACGACTATTTCATACTCTAACACTAGTCTAACAAATAGCGATAATCATAACAACAAAATTTCAGCTGAAAACATGGGACGGCAAACCATAACAGGAAACCGCAATTTCGGCGGCGTTTTCGGGAATGTTGCTACGAAAGAGACGCTACTTTTACTATTCAAGATCACCGAACATGTAAACAAACACGGCACGGCGGCCCGGTTGTGGAGTATTTTAATAGCGGGATTGGAAGACCACCGACCATCCGTACACCGAGTTAGGAGCAGGGAACCATAAGGGACACCCAGAAATCGGGGTCAGATAATAATCGCGCAGACGAATTACACAGCAAATTACAACAGTACAGTGGTAGAAAATACGATCTGCATATAAATCACTGCATTGGAGGTCAACAATGGTAGACTATGCAGCAACGACCTCTAGCGATTTATCTGTAAAGCACACCCTTCTGTAGGGTTTCTCTGCCCCTTGATCAGCACCAAGGTCAGCACCAATTAACATTCGGTTACGCTGTAATACAAATGTTGAACTGATAGCCTAGAACAGACCTGGCCGTGCAGTAATGCAGCAGCATCTTTTAGCCTTGAGCAGAACGTGTGGCTATTCAAAAGTTGCCCATGAAAAGAGGCATCAAAAAGAGTAAAAATGCCTGTATCTGTTTACTATCATGTGTATGGAGATTTTTAACTTAACTCTAGACGGTTGTGAGTGAGGTAACTAAGGCATTTTGCACCAATACGCGGTTCTTCACAAAGGCCAGTGTGCAACTACACTGCAACAGTTACGTCATGGTTACGTCAGCCACAGGTAAATGTGATCCTGCAGTTTGGAGAAAAAGCGCTAGAGGCCACTGCTACACCGTCCACCTGCCTGGTAGTGTCAAGACGTTTTCCCGACGTCAGGAGGTTTTTGCTGTGTGGGGACGCCTGTTTCCGACTCTAAACCCTAATCATAACTTCAGTTCTAACCATAGCGATGACCGTAACAACAGCTAAAACATACGATGGTGAAACATAACAAGGAAAAAGTCATTTCGGAAGCGTTTTTCGGCAATATTGCTACGAACGAGATGTTAGTATGATGCAATCACGCAACCACCCAGGTTTCCACATCAGGGGCTAAAATATAGGTTTAACGAATTACGGTATCGTGGAATATTTTGCTGACAAATCACCCCATGCACACCACTCTTCTTTCTCGTAAGTTTATATTGTTCCAATTCTTACAAATTTTAGTTTCTTTTGGACAATGTACGAGATCTTGATTGTCCTACGAAGAAGTGTACGAAGAAGTGCAGTACGCAATCATCCCCTATGTGAGACTCCTTTGAAACTCCAAAAGCATCACCGAACATGTAAACAACATGGCGGCCCGGTTGTGTTTGGTGCGCGACACGGTAGAATTGGTCGCGTTGTGGAGTATTTTCGGGATTTGAAGACCACCTACCCTACGTACACCGAGTTAACAGAGCAGACAAGCATAAGGGAAAACCATAAACAGATATAATCACGCAGACGAATTGCACAGCGAATTACAACAGTACAGTGGCAGAAAATGCGATTTTCATATGAATCACTGCACTGGAGGTCAACAATGCTAGACCATGCAGCAGCGACCTCTAGCGATTGATCACACTCCTCTGTAGGGTTTCCTGCTCCAGGCCTCTTGATCAGCACCAAGGTCAGCACCAGGAACAGGCTTGACCGTGCAGCTTTGGAGAACGGCCTGACTTTGCGGTGATTCAGAAGGATCGAATGTTAATTGACCATGGGGCACTCAAAGGCTTGGCCGTGAGATCTTCTAAAATGAAGTGATAGCCAGTATCAGCTGACTCAGCCATACACTTCGTAGCAACATTCCCGAAAACGCCGCCGAAGTTGCGGTTTCCTGTTATGGTTTGTCGTCCCATGTTTTTAGCTCAAATTTTGTTGTT